GGTACCTTAGGTAGGTAGGTATGAAAGGGAAGTCGAGTCACTGTCAGAGTGCAGCTGCCTGCGTTGGTGTGCGTCCCGTACATCCTTGCCGGACGCGGCGCCCCCCCCCTAAACAAGAGCCCCTGCATTCCCAAGTCCTCCACGATTACCTAATGTAGGCTCCTTGGAGCAAATACAACAGACCGTGGGAGGACCCCGCGATCGCGATACGATGATGCCCATATCGTTATATCGGTAGAATTAACCCCTCCAACCGCCCAGCTACGGACGGTGCCACAAAAGTAGCGAAGTCCTTTCCAGGCCAGTCGGTCAGTCGACGATCAACCGTCGCGGACTCTTCCTGGCGGTTCTAGGTATCAATTTCATTGTGAACAAGCGCACCATGGCCACCTTCCGGCGTTTCGTCCCTGACGACGTCGACAAATTTTCAAAATGCAACCTCGACCCCTTGACGGAAACTTACGAGCTTGCGTTCTATCTTCAATATCATGCCAAATGGCCAGCCCTGTTCCAGGTCTGCGAGGACATGAATGGGAATATTATTGGCTACAGTATGTATTCGTTTCCTCTCAGGCGTCTTTAGCACCCACTGACTGTCTCAATCGCTAGTCATGGGCAAGGTTGAATCGTCTCCCGATATCTACAAATTTTCCGAGCATTACCTGCCCTGGCACGCACACATTACTGCCCTGACCGTCGCACCGGAGGCTCGCAGGCTAGGCATCGGTAAAATCCTGACGGAGCAGCTGGAGGTCGCAGCTGACGCAAACGATGCTTGGTTTATTGACCTCTTCGTTCGGACCAGCAACCACCGAGCCATCAACTTCTACAAGGGCATGGGCTATAGCGTCTTCCGCGTGGTGAAAGACTACTACGGCGACCATGCCACCGATTCCAAGGCTACCAGTGAAGATGCCTTCGACATGCGGAAGCCATGTAAGCGGGATACCAAGCTACAACATATTCGGGACGACGGCGAGAGGCACGAGGTCGACCCGGGTGATGTGTGGTGAAAGAATAACAACACGCTAGCTGCCTACGAAGCATCCCTCTGTCAAGCCTAGACGTCTTGGCTAGCGTTCCCTACGCCTCTACATGCATCGCTGTTCCGCTTATATTGATCCGCGACGATATACCTGTTTGCCGCAGGAGGCCATCACAGCCATGCTCCGTCCACCTCATACACGGACCCGCTCACAAATGTGCTTTCGGGGCCGAGCAGGAAGGCTAGGACATTACCACACTCTTCGGAGGTTCCTTGCCGTTGAAACGCCGTCGGCTCGTCGAACGGTGCGTCCAGCGACCGTCCAGCAGCCTTCCAATTCTTCTCCATCAATGGTGTGAATATAGCGCCCGGCGCCACGGCATTCACCCTCACTTCGCGCGCGCCATTCTCCTTGGCCGCGGCTTTCGTCAAGCCAATCATACCGTGCTTACTGGCATCGTACGCTCCGTGATTCGCGAATCCTGAGAGGTAATCAGTTGGTTGTGGCTACTGTGGGGAGGAAGGCACCGTGACGCACCTCTGAGCCCATGGATCGAAGATACGTTGACGATGGAACCGCCGTCAACAATGTTTCGAAGCTCGGCCCGCATACAATACATGCATCCTGTCAAATTGACGGCGATAATCTTGTTCCACTCGTCGTCATCTAGTTCCGCGACAGGGCGTGTGCCGTGGTGTTTGCCGATGACGCCCGCAACGTTTGCCGCACCGTCCAGACGTCCGAACTGCTTCACGATGCCGTCTATCCAATCATCTACCTGGCTCCGGACAGCAACGTTCACTTTGTTGATAGAAAAGCGAATTTTGTGTTCTTGGAAGTAGATTTCTGCCTCCCTCATTGCTTCCGTGTCGATATCGGCGATGCAGATCGTGGCTCCGCGCCTCGCGAGGATTTTGGCGGTTGCAAAGGCGATCCCACTGGCACCACCAGTGAACGCATAGACCTTGCCGTCAAGTGATGACATTGTGGTTCTGTGGAATGCGATGGCTGCGTACTCAATGAGTCTTGATTGCTTATCTCTCAATCGAATTCGTTCAGGATTTCGAGAGCAGCAGGACAGAGAGGACTGGCGAGGCGAGAATGTGTTGTTCGATCGAAGGTTTGAGATCCATCGATCTTAAAACAGGCTGTCAGACGGTTGGGGATGGACTCTTTAAAGAACCGCCGATCCGCCACAAACCGACGGCAGTCCAGCCTCTCGCCAACTAGCTGACCGGGCATCCGAAAGGGGTAACCCACATCTGAACCGACATGGTATGAACCTGTTGCCATGGGTCAGCGCAGGTTCGTTCGTGGTGGAATTCGGGATGAGTCTCCGAGCTTTACTGTTCTTGCATGGTACGCCCCCCCCACGCGTGGGCCTGGGTTTATGATCACCCCCTCTATCGAGCTTTCGGTTGGCGGCATTTCTACGCTGCACTAGGACGCTTTCTATCCTACACGTTCACCCGATCTCGTTAATTGCGAGAAGGCTCCATAGGGCAAGGACTCTGCACACCCGTACCCCGCCTTTCTAACAGATACAACTCGCGATTCCCGCATCCGACGGGTCGGACTTTAGGGAGTTTGCTGAAGTACTTCTCCCGATCCACCAATCCCATAATTTAGGAATCATTCGACGACATCAAAGTCGTGAAGCTGGGGGGTTTCCGCCACTGGTGCGTATCGCATACCTACGCGAATCAAGTGACAAGCTCAAGGCACCTCAATGGTCCTATACCCACGCGTTTCAGGGACGCGAAAGTTCCGATTAATAGCCGATCATGAGCTATTCATCCTGTACTCACTCTACCATCACCGTTCTGCTTCATCAGATCCTGAAAGCCTCAATGCCGAAGTCCGCCCTTCATATGGACGGACTTTCCTTAGTTTATGCACGCGACCCTCGGGAATCAAAGGTTCAAACAGGGGGGCTGAGACCTATCAACAATGTCGGCGCAGCCAGGGATGTGAGTATCGGGCCACCCAAATCAACCTAGGTAGTGTACCTACGGAGAAGACTCATGCTGGCAACAGGCTGTCATGTAGTAGGAGCGGACCGTACTCAGAGCACCATTCTTTTGGTCCGTTTCGCATGGAAGCTTGACTGCTAGGTAGGTAGGTATATAGACGGCATCTTCGGTAGGTACATGTACTCCCAGCTACGTCGGATGCCTTGGGCAAGGTGGTACCTTAGGTAAGGTTCCCCAGGAACCTTCATACGGAGTAGGTGTACCTGGCCTCGGTGCACAGCGTTGGCTATGCGAAAGAGTGGGAACTGGTGCCCAATTCAGCACAGTCACGTGCTGACAGCTGCCATAGTTGTCGCCTGGAGTTTGCCAGCTGATTCAAGCCTTGATCCTGCTCCACGTAGCCCCTTGCGCCTGGCAACGATGCAAACCCCAGTGCCGTGCGTGACCTAGGACCTTCCTCCCTCGTTGACCACCTCGCAATCCACTTTGCAACAAACGTCCATCACCTTGCACTTGTCGCCTTCCAGCCTCACCACACCACTCTTCACTATCGCCTTCCGTTCGCCGGCTGCCGCATCAATCACTGACACGGCTCCTGCATTGATCCCCTCATATACCTGCTCCTAGCCTTTGAGGCTTCTTTTTTCCTTCCTTACCCCTGGGATTGTTTTTTTCCTTCCAACCCTTCACCAACGCGAACGACGGACAGAGCCTTCCGCCGCTGCCTCGCTTCCACCCTTACCCCCGACAGCCTCGCATTCTTCCATCCATCCCTTACCCATCCACGCCCATCTTTTCTCTTGCCACTGCATCAAACTCTCGTCTCTATCAAATCAGACGATATGGCCACTACCAGCATGGATTACGAGACCGCCAATGGCGACCGTTACGATGGTTAGTTTCTTCATCATACCTCCTGTCATGAGTGATCGGAATTCTATTGTCTTCACTCGATGCTGCGTCTTTGCCCATATTTGCATTCGCTCACATGACTGGCTCCTCAGAAGAGACTCCTCGCTACGAGCGCGATAACCGCAGCGCCTCTCCTCGTCCCCTGCGCGACGAAGCCGATGGCGGTCGTCGTCGCTCTGCCTCGCCATCCGGCAATGGTGATCGGTACGTCACGTCTCTCTTTGTCTTTTCCTCCCTCTCCAAAACCGACGCCTATTGGATCAGTGCTTACGCTATGTCTCTTGTCTCTCCAGTACCATGAAGGACAACGATACTGCTTCCAAGGGCGGTGATGACGATGGCGCCATCAACCCTGGCTCCAACCTCTTTGTCACCGGCATCCACCCTCGCCTGTCCGAGTCGGAGGTCACGCGCCTCTTCGAGAAGTATGGCGAGGTTGAGAAGTGTCAGATCATGCGTGACCCCCACACCAAGGAGTCCCGCGGCTTCGGCTTCGTCAAGATGGTCACTTCCGACCAAGCTGATGCTGCCAAGGAGGGTCTCCAGGGAGAACAAATTGACGGCCGTACTCTCAGCATCGAAAAGGCTCGCCGTGCCCGTCCTCGCACCCCGACCCCCGGCAAGTACTTCGGCCCCCCCAAGCGTGGTAAGTCCTAGCATATTCCCATTAGTCCTATAACGACCCGTGACGTTGACATATCGATTTGCAGAGGGCGGAGGTGGTGGCCGTGGTGGCCGCATGAACGACCGCTACGACGATCGTCGCCGCGGTGGTTACGGCGGTGGCGGCGGCGGCGGCTACTATGGACGTGACGACCCTTACCGCTACCGCGGCGGCGGTGGTGGCGGCTATGAGCGTCGCTACGAGGATCGCGGAGGATACCGCGAGGACCGCGGCTACGATCGCACTTACCGTGACGACCGTGGCGGCAGCTACGACCGTCGCGAGCGTGACGATGGCTACAGCGGCGGTGGCCGCGTCGACCGCTACGGCAGTGGTGGCGGCCGCGAGGGTGGAGGTCGCGAGGGTGGTGGCCGTGAGGGCGGTGACCGCTATCGCGATGACCGCCGTGGCCCTGGCTATGACCGCGAAAGGGGCTACGATCGCGCAGCTGAGCGTGACGCTCCGCGCACCCGTGATGCTCCTGCTGCCGCTGCCACCTACGGTGACTCTGCTGGTGGTCGTTCCGAGGCACGGGAGCCCTACGGTGGAGGTTCGGATTACTACTGACGACCTCTTCAAGGCACGGGCTAATACGCACAGGATCCCGCTGATTATGGCGATGTGGACCGCCATTTGTCGCGCTTCCTTCCGCTCTTGGTACCATCGACCAGGACGGACTTTTCTCGATTCTTCCGTCTTCTAATGGAGTTTTTGTGCAATGCGACTAGTAAGGGTGGGAAACGAAAATGGGATTCTTCGGATTGCGTCTTTCTCTGGCATGGCCTCGCTTTCGGTTAGAGCGAGGCTGGCCTGCACAGAATCGACCAGGCATTTTTTTTTCGCCTCAGAGCTCGGTTTACCCTGCACGGATTTTTTTTTGGTAGCTTTCGCACACAATCAACTCGGCAACGCTACACGTCGCGACAGGCTTTGTCTCAGTGACGGGCATAAACCCCATGGATTCGCACTTTTCGCGCTACTTCCAGCCAGCTGCCGCCTTCAATCCCCCCTTTTCCCCCCTCGCGGCCACTTTTATCACACCTGTATCAGTAACTCTCGCTCCCCGCCTTCATCGATCTTGAGACGGCTTCGCACACCCTCAGCATGGCTCTTTCGATGCAATTCAGCTTGATGAGATGATAAACACCAATGCAACTTTCGATGACCATCCGCCTTATTCTTCATAGAGTCCGCCTAAACCGTAATTGTGCCGACTGAGCGCCAAGCAAAAAATAACAGCTGACTGTACCACCGCCGTGTGCAGCGTGGGGCATGCCATGACAGCTTGGCCGCAGCTCCTTCTTGTAATGATCTAAGGCCATGCGTAACTTGGCTTCCAGGTAATTCCTTTCTTTTTGAGGGACCACGCTGATGTGACAAGCAGAACAGTGGACCTGTTGAACTGTACCGGGTTCAGCAACGCCTGTCAGTTTTGCCTATTGCTATAAGTTCGATGTGGTTTGTTTGACAACAGTGCCGCTGGTTTGGACGAGACGCTGGAATCGCTACCGTATATGGTTCGTCAGTTGCAGACCTCGGTAGCCATGGCTGAAGTCCGCTTCATGCCGCTGTGGACACGGACCGTCGTTGTCACTTGTCGGTGTCCGAGGTACCGTCGTCAACACTCAAGGGTGAGCGACAGGCCGCTGCACCGTTGCTTCAATTATGGCAAACTACAATGGTTTGTACGTTGCAAAGTTCACTCGTGAACCTATTCCTTAAACTACGACCTGCCCTGTCTGAGGCCTAGTGACGCTATTGAATTAGAGGTCAAACCCTATGGCATCCAGCACAGTATACTTAGCTAGGCGACTTCCCACTTGCGACGGCCCTTGATAGGACGCTTCAATCATGAACCCCAACTATAGGTGTTGGCAACATTCATTGTTGATTCACATACTTTTAGCTGTCGATTGACAGCTATAGCACACATTGTAGAATGATCCTCAGGGACTGTACCTGCCACTTGCATCATCGAAGAGCTTCCTGGGCTCCGTTAACCCGATGAGATCAGTGGTTTAGTCAACGGTGATTCTAGGAATTTTCTCTTTTTTCGCTGTATCACAATATACCGGATACCAAGCAATGTCAAGTATAGGCGGTAGTGAACAATTCCTCCTACAGTCACCATATCTGATATGCCGGGGAGCATTTGATGACTAGAAACGATGCAACGGAGAGACAAACAATAGAAAGCAAAAAGAGCACGACCTTATGCAGAACCTATATCGCTCGCCTAATCTGGGTATCTGAGCATTACAACAGCACCGTCATCCCTAATCACGTTGGTGAAGAAGACAGAATCAACCATTCGTGGAGGTTGACATCACCCTGAAAGTCCGGATCCCTCTACATTACTGCAAGCCAGCATGACAAGATATTACCAATACGAAAAGCAAGAGTCCTCGCGCGAACTATTTCTGAGAACGAAAAATATCAACGCCAAGATGTAACGCAGCATGTCCGATGAACATCATTCGCCAGCTTGTGGGGTCAGCCTGATTTCCTCGCACGAGCAGCGTCCTTGACTCCGCCGTCAACGCCTGAGGAGCGAGATACGGCAGCTAGATTATCGTCTTTGAGGAGAGGAATCTGGTCCACACTCGACAACCCCGCAGCTTTGGCGCCGGGTGGACTGTTGACCTCGGGCTTGGTGTGCGGGGTGATGTCCTCAACTACAGCCGTGGACAGCTCGGCGGACACAGGGCCGTCAGGATGAGGTGTGACCAAAGGCGAGTTGAGTGGAATCTCTGGACTGTTCTGCCACTGGCTGACCTCGGCTTTCAAAGACTCGAGTTCCTTCTGGAACCGTTTGCCGAAGACATCAATGTAATATGTGGACCCGTTGTAGACACTCCATGCAAAGACAACCATGAGAAAACCAGCCGAGGCATAGCGACTGTGCAGCCAGATGGGACAAGGAAGCATGGTAAGCACGGCATAGCTGTACTGTATCCCCATGAAGGCAGGCTCCTGTAGCGCGTTGGGCAATGCTAGTACGACCTTGCCGATCCATGTCTTTGAGTATGAGCGCCGAAGCCAGGTGAACGAGGTGGGACGGCCGGCGGCAATCTTCTCCCGGCGGCGAACGGTGATGAGGAAGTAGTACGACAACTGCCAGACCGCATATGGAACGGAGCTCCATGCTAGCATCGAGAAAACGTTGCCGTAAGCAGTGGGTGACCCGGCGGGCGAGTGCTTGATTGCCCATATGGCAGGGTACCGAGAGGCCTGGAGCTGCTCAGGCCAGAGATGGACCATGGAATGCAAAGTGGCACAGGGCATGATATGAATGAAGAGTGAAGTGACCTTGTCGAAGCTGTGAAAGACGAGAGAGTTTCTCCACATGATGATAGCGACAGCGTTATTGCCGAAGGCCAAGCAGTACGCGGCGGTAAATAGTCGCTTTGAACCAGGAAAAACCCAGATGCTGAGCATGAGGAGGAAGTTGACGAAGTAACAGAGGTCGGCCAAGAAATAATGCATGCCCCGGCGGTGATAAGTAAAGAAGCGGATCGGCATGAAGTAGAGGAGCTGGATGGTGTACCATATGTGGAACCACTCCGGGAACCCGCCGATGAGGTAGCCGCTAAGGAAGATATTCATGACGCCACAGATGAAGGATACCTTCTCTCGTAGAGTAATGATCTTGGCGTCGCCCCATTGCTTGCCCAGCTTGTCAACGCTGACACGCATCCGTTTGCGATAGCGGTCAAGCTGCTCGTCAGCGGGTGGGCACACGGCGCCTCCACTCCTCCACCATGCGCTCTCGCGCCTGGTGGCTCTTCGACTTGAACGCATCCCTCGATTTCTTGACCTTTTGTGTCTGGGCCGAGATGCCTTTCTGTAGCTTTTCGAGTTGTTGGGGCAGTGCAAAGTTATCAAGAAGATCGAGCACCGACAGGCGGTCCAGGGGCGGGAAAGCTTCCCAGTCTTCATGGTAAGAGCTACTCCCTGAAAAGGAGGGATGTCGCGACAACCTTGGGCTTCCGGGTGTAGTCGGTCCAATGTTGGGAGTGTTTAAGGAATCGTGGTCGGGCGGGGACGAGCTGAGTGAAGGAGCATCGTTGGCATCGAAGACAGCAGGGAGATCGTCGTGTGATGATGTCGGGCCCTCTTCCGAGGTTCGCATGTCGACGGGCTTAGAGTGCGTCATTCTCGCAGTCGTACCTTGTTACAGCTGAAACAGCTGGACACGGAGGTCAGCGATTGTGGGTGTTGCTCAACACCCTTATGTATCAGGGACCTGTTCTTCGTAGTTGCGATAGCCAGGTATTGAGGGGTACATGATCTTACATCTCAGATTCGTGGGATGACCGCAAATACTGATCATGGAACAAGCGTCGAAGATCAAGTGCAATGTGCTGGGTCGCGAAGGCGGTGTGTCAGTATACCCGTGTTGTCGAGGTGGCTGTAAGCTGAACAGGGCTGGGATAGGGTGGGCGAACGAGTCGAATAACAAGATGAGCTGTCCTCGTGAGAGGTGTGTCCCAAATGTGTAGCCCTAGGCAGTGCAAGGCTCGAATAGAGGATGGTGCCTCAAGCTAACGTCTTGATGACAAGATGGGCTGCCCTTCGTCCCTGTGGTTGCTCACGGGACAGGCGATCCAAGAATGTCGACCAGGGCCGAGAGCTAGATGAGCGACCGATAGATAACGAACACGATTAAGCATTACGACGTCACTCGTTAACAGTGGAGACTTCAATGCTTGATTTGGCTACCTCGAGCCCGCACGCTTTATGTAGGATATGCTTGGAAGTAACGAAGTAGATAACACCCGCCTTTACATAGCACAATGGCCAGTGCCTCGCGAATTCTATTGGTCACGGGCGCCTTCTTGCCTCTTCCTTTTCACGAGGTTGCGTCACATGGCATCTTGGGAGGGTGTAACACGGGCGTTCGTCTGCTCCGCTTTAGTCGCAAATGTTCCAGAGTGAACTGACTGAGATACCTGTTGATTATGCAATCAAGTAGCCCCAGGAAGCGAAGAAGAAACTGCATTCAACCTTCCCACATGGTTTTTGTTGAGCTCAGGTATTTCATTCACAATCAAAGTACCTTGAAGGTATCAGCGGTATACTGGCATATGCGTGTTCTGTTGTCCGTCTACTGGCCAAGTAAGGCACCGCAAGATAGGTCGGTACCTTCACGGGAAACGTACCTGGGTACCTGAGGACCCCCGATCGCTGGATGCCCGTAGTTGGAGCAGGTGCATAGTATGGTCCCTGTGGTTGGCTTGCACCTCCCTGGACCTGCAAAATGGAGCAGTCACATGACCTTGACCGCACTCAAGCTGGTGACTGGCTGTCCGTCGCGCTATGTGGGGTAAGTGCCAACCCGCCCGCACCAGCCCAACGTTGTGGGGACTGCCCCAAGTCGCGTGCTGGCGCTTCTTGACGCGCGTGGAAGGTGGGAGACTCGCAAATCATCATTGCCAGACTCGAGAGATCCTGGATAAGCAGTGTGCGACTCGACTGCCCACACGAAGCTGAAGGCATAGGCAAGCGCCTGTTGCGACTTACGTTATCACGGTTGATCAACTAGCATCTTCGTTTTCGCACGCGACTGCTTCTAACCTGCAACGCGCACACGCATGCCCGACGATCCCCTCTTCGCGCCGCACTCCATCCATCTTCGCGACAGCCTCGGTCAACATCGACATTCTAGGTAACCAGGCTCAACACAAGCCCTTTTCAATTTCCGCCACATTGGGGTCTCCAATGATTTACGGTTGTTCCAACAAGCCTTGACACTGCTATTCACGTGTGCCATACCACCACCATGGGCAAACTCATACGCCTCGAGCTGTTCAGTATGCTGCGCCTTTTCCCTTGAGCTTCACCGCGCCTACTAATTCGCCTTGCAGACTTCAAATCCTACAAAGGCCATCATGTCCTCCTATTCGGGGACTCCTATTTCACCTCCATCATCGGTCCCAATGGATCTGGAAAGTCCAACTCGTGCGTTCCCATTGTTCCTTCCCTGTTGTCATCTGCATTCTAGGAATTACGCGAGAGGATCAGGACGCATTGCTAATACGGACTAATGCACGTCAGCATGGACGCCATTTCCTTCGTCCTAGGAATCAAGTCTTCACACCTCCGCTCAACCCATCTCAAGGACCTGGGTTTATCGCGGCCGCGTCCTCAAGACGTCCAAAATAAACGACGACGGGTCTGCGGACACTCCGAGCGCCAATGGAGACGCAGATGGGAAATCAAACGGCGACAAGCCATCACGCCACGACCCAAAAGACTGCCTGGGTTATGGCTGTGTACGAGGACGATGCCGGCGATGAGCAGAAGTGGAAGCGATCAATCACAAGCCAGGGTTCCAGCGAATATCGGATCAACGATCGTGTTGTGAACGCACAGCAATACAACACAGCCCTCGAGGTCGAGAATATTCTGATCAAGGCGCGGAACTTTCTGGTTTTCCAGGGCGATGTCGAGGCCATCGCAGCTCAGTCTCCTCAGGACCTCACGCGTCTTATTGAGCAGATTTCGGGAAGCTTGGAGTTCAAGGCCGACTATGAACGTCTTGAAGCGGCGGCAGAGAAAGCCGCCGAGGACCAGAGCTTTCAGCTTCACCGACGCCGGGGCATCAACTCAGAGATCAAGCAATACCAAGAGCAAAAGAAGGAAGTCGAAAATTTTCAGCAGAAGACTGAAGAACGAGACCGCGCCATCGTCGATCGCATGCTGTGGGAGCTTTTTCATCTTCAGAGCAGCATGGATGAGTCCAACGACAAGATCAAGGACCACGAGGAGAACCTCCAAGAGTTTAGGCGCAACGTAGCATCTTTCGAGAAGAAGTTGGAAGCCGCACATAAAGAGCTTGCGGCGGCGACACGAGATGTCAGCAAGCATGACAAGCACATAAAATTCAAAGAGCGAAAGATCGAAGAACTTGAGAACAGCCTTGTTCCCATCAATCAAAAAGTGGAACAGAGCACTCGTGAAGCAAGCGCTCTTCGCCAACGTCTCGATACAACACGAAAAGAACGTGACGATCAGGTCAAAGTTTTGGAAGATGATAGAAAGAAGCTGAAGACTGTCGAAAAGGCTCAAGAGCTCAAGGAAAGAGAGTTTCAGGAACGGTCTAGAAAGCAGGGCACGGAGCTCAGCGACGAAGATCGCAAAGAGTACAACGCTCTGCGCAGTCAGGTTTTTGCCAAGACGTCAGCCAACCAAAACAAGATCGACAACCTTGTCCGTCAACAAAAGACAGATGAAGTTATGGTCAACAGTCTCAAGAGCAAAGTCGACGGCTTCAATGCCAACGTCGAAAAACTAGATGGCGAACTCGAGACGATCCAAGAACGCACCAAGTTTACGAAGGACACCATCAGCACCCTTTCTGAGCAAATTGATGCGAAGAAGAAGGAGTTCAGACAGCTAGACTCCACTCGGGTGCGCACAAATAACAAACGAACTGAGCTTGAGGAGCATTTGCAGAAGGTGGCCAGGCAATTAAATGAAGCAGACGATGGCCGTCGCCAAAACGATCGCGAGACGCGCATGAAAGAGACTGTCAGCACGCTCAAACGCATTTACCCTGGTGTCAAGGGTCGCATTGGAGATCTTTGCAAGCCTAAGCAGAAGAAGTTTGACGAGGCTGTCATCATTGCTCTCGGCAAAGACTTTGAGTCCGTTGTCGTGGATACCGAGAAGACGGGCATGCAGTGTGTCCAGCATCTGAAGGACAACCAAATCCCACCAATGACGTTCATTCCGCTTGACAACATCAAGGTCAACGCTGTGAACACGGCTGTCAAAGGTATCAGCGGGGCGCGGCTTACGATCGACACGATCGACTTCGACTCTGCTTACGAACGTGCCATGGCATACGCTTGTGGCAGCTCGGTGGTGTGTGACGACCTTCGCGTCGCTTCACATATCTGCTACGAGAAAAAAATCCCTGTCAAGGCTGTGGCGCTGGACGGTACCGTCATCCACAAAGGAGGTCTCATGACTGGTGGACGGGGCCCCGAGCACAAGGGCGGTAAACGGCGCTTCGAGGAACACGACGTCGACGCTCTGAGGAGAACAGCCGCCAAGTATACCGAAGAAATACAAAACCTGCCGGCAACTGATAGGCGTGCGGAGGATGCACTACGTACTGATCTACAAGTGCTAGAGCCTCAACTGGCGGCTGCCAAATATGAATTGGCTCAGTTTGAGAAGAACCATGCCAGCAGGTCACGGGAAAGAGATCACCAAGCCCAGCAGCTTCATGACTGGGCGCCTCAGTACGGTGCCAAGAACGCCGAGCTACGATCAACAACCGAGACCTTGGAGAATTTCCGAGCAGCCATCTCACAGGTGGAGGACCGAGTCTTCGGTGACTTCTGCAAAAGGTTGGGTCTGAGTAATATCCGAGCGTACGATGCAGAGCACCAGGGTTTGCAACGTCAACTCGAAGAAGAACGAAACAGGTTTGAAGTCCAAAAAGAGAGGCTGAAGAGCACCCTTGCCTGGAACGAGTCAAGGCTCAAAGACTTTGAAGGTCGTGTGGCATCCATGGAGAGGAAGCTGAGGCAATTCGAGAAAGATCTGCAAACGTATGAACAACAGAAATCGGAGATCGAAGACAAGATGGGCGAGGTCTCGGACGAGCTGGATGCGTTGCGCGAGAATCTGCAGGTCGCCCGCGCAGAGCAGCAAGAGCGGAGCCAGAAGGTCGCCGAGGCAAAGGCAGAGGTCAAGAGTCGCAGCAAAGAGATCGAAGCTAGACAGAAGGACATCAATGCCCTTGAAACAAGTGTGCAAAAGGACGGTGCCGCCAAATTTGCGCTGTTGAGAAGGTGCAAGATGGACGGAATCGACATCCCGCTGGTCGATGGGTCATTGGACAACCTGCCTAGGGAAGACAACTTATTGCGTCAGGACCCTGATGCCATGGATCTCGACGACGAGGACGACGGCATGTTGGATGC